AGGGGTGTCACTAGCACGTTAAGAGACCATACAATAAGTGTCAGGGGCCCGAGACTGTTCAACTGCCTCCCAGCATACATAAGGGGGATTACCAACAGACCCCTGGCAGTCTTCAAGCTGGCACTGGACAAGCACATAAAGTCGGTTCCTGACCAGCCGGGCTGTGGCTCGTACGTTGGTTTGCATGCAGCCAGCAGTAACAGCCTGGTTGATCAGGCTCTGATCCACCAGGAGGCCTGGTCACAGACCGGGCCGCGGGGGCGTTGACCCCCAGAACTCTCTCCAGGTAAACTCCAGGTAATAGGAGGAAATACAGATCTTTGTTGTACCCACTTTTCTCAGAGGTCTCTTGTGTATTGATGATAAATATAGTGGTGGCTGAAACGTTTTATAAATTATATGATGGAAAAAAAGGAGGTAGTCTCGAAAATCAATAAAGCGTAATAGGAAATGTTAATTACTCGTGATTTTTTTTAAACACGCTGGCTGTCTTTTACTGAAGACAGCCAGCCATTCACACTATCACTGTCTTGCCAGAGACAAGTAGATATGACAATTTAGATGTCACTCCAAACAGCAAATATCCCAAACCCTCCTTTTGAGCGCAGGCATTGTACTTCCCACCTCCAAGACTCGATACTGTTCAAGCACACTATAATAATTACTCGACTTACTAAACACATTAAGAATCTATTGTGTATAATATCATTTTTGTGTATAATATGTATTGTACACAATTCAGAAGGTCCCCAATATGTATGTAAGTCGAGGACTTGCTGTATATGGCTATAGTCATTAACACTGACTTCAGGCAAGTAACATTGTACATATAGGTGTTCCCTTGCTATAATCTGGATCAAAGAGGCAACATTGAGAGCGAGAAGGTAGGTTGTGAAAGGTAGCAAGATGCATGATACGAAGTTACTTTTACTATTAATAAATGCATGGAATCGTCCTGGGTTGAGTCCCAGCAGTGTGCCAATATATTTGTTTTGGTTGAAACATTTATATTTTTTTAGAATTAAATTTAATTTGAAAGATTTGTAGCTTTACAATTGTGTAATGTTGATAGTATAATGCAGCAGTTATTTATGCAAATGATCATTATATTTATAAAGAATGTAAGATTCTGTATGAGAATGATACTAGCTGATCTGTTAAGAGAAATATTTATTATATGAAATGCCGAGCTTATTGTGGGTTACTCAGCACTAGCAAGTAAGTTTATTCAGGTATACACAAATAGTTACATAGATTATCATAGCAGCATATGTGTAGAGAACCTAGGATAACCCAAAAAAGTCAGTGACTTATTTCCATTGGAGGGTTCGATCCTCTGTCTGCAAAGCGTTTGGGTTATTTAGTGCAAGTACTGTACTGTACTATACTGTACTGCATTTGTATTCCCTGGAACACAGGCGAGAGAGATACATAATAATATACACTTGGAAAATCCTAGAGGGATTAGTACCAAACTTGCACACGAAAATTACTCCCTAAGAAAGCAAAGACTCAGCAGGAGATGCAACATTTCCCCAGTGAAAAGCAGGGGTGCCACGAGTACAAGGAGAGACAACAATGTAAGTGTCAGGGGCCCAAGACTGTTTAACTGCCTCCCAGCATACATAAGGGGGATTACCAATAGTACCCTGGCTGTCTTCAAGTAGGCACTGGACAGTCGCCTAAAGTCAGTACCTGACCAGCTAGGCTGTGGTTCATACATCAGTTTGCATGCAGCCAGCAGTAACAGCCTGGTTAATCAGACCCTGATCCACCACGAGGCCTGGTCTCAGACCGAGCCACGGGGGCGTTGACCCCCGAAACCCTCTCCAGGTATACTCTAGATATAGTCTTAGAGGCTTGATACTCCATCTGCTAAGTCAATGGTTATTCAGTGTAAGTACTGCAGTAGTGATGTCTCAAGCTACTGTCTGCTAAACTTGTGTTCTTATCTTATGGATAACTACACACACCCACACACAGCATTAGTACCTTGCCAGTATTACTGGCTGATTCCATAAGGGTTTAGCACATCACTCAATCAATCAATCAAATTGATCAAATTTTATTTCCTTGCAAGATTACATTAAGATTATGAAGATTACAATAATGAGCTGCAGTGCAAAGAGAGGCCCGGTGGCCTGGTGGCTAAAGCTCCCGCTTCACACACAGAGGGCCCGGGTTCGATTCCCGACGGGTGGAAACATTTCGACACGTTTCCTTACACCTCTTGTCCTGTTCACCTAGCAGCAAATAGGTACCTGGGTGTTAGTTGACTGGTGTGGGTCGCATCCTGGGGGACACAATTGAGGACCCCAATGGAAATAAGTTACAGTCCTCGATGACACACCGACTTTGAGTTATCCTGGGTGGCTAACCCTCAGGGGTTAAAAATCCGAATGAAATCTTATCTTATTATAGGCAGACTTAATTTAATAGCTTACAGACTACTCGGTACTAAAGAAATTGATCATAGTTTAAGTTGTACATCTGTTTTTATTAATAGTTCACAGTAATTTTACTCAAATTACAATAGTTTCAATAGTAAATATTGAAATTATATTATGGGAATATAACATTGTGAGTTATTTCTTATTCTTTTTAGTAATTATTACAAGAAAAGGGGTTACTAGCCCATTGTTCCCGGCATTTTAGTCGACTTTTACAACACGCATGGCTTGCGGAGGAAAGAATCTTATTCCACTTCCCCATGGATATAAAAGGAAAAGTAATAAGAACAAGAGCTATTAAGATAAAATCATAGAAAAACTCTGATGAGTGTGTATAAATAAACGTGTACATGTATGTTTAGTGTGACCTAAGTGTAAGTAGAAGTAGCAAGACGTACCTGTAATCTTGCATATTTATGAGACGGACAAAAGACACCAGCAATCCTACCATCATGTAAAACAATTACAGGCTCTCGTTTTACACTCGCTTGGCAGGATGGTAGTACCTCCCTGGGTGGTTGCTGTCTACCAACCTGTGTGTGTAAAGTGAAAGTGTTGAATGATGATGAAAGTATTTTCTTTTTGGGGATTTTCTTTCTTTTTGGGTCACCCTGCCTCGGTGGGAGATGGCCGACTTGTTAAAAAAAAAAAAAAATTGAGTTGTATATACATTGTATATACATTTTTTGAATACATGGTGATAATCCTTATTGGTTATTTTTGTCATTCAACTTGTTTATTACTGCTTATTGAATATATAAAACTGTTCTAAATTTTGTGAATTTGTGATGGGGTAGAGTAGGCATGAATGTTATCCTGATTTAAAGAAATTGTCAATAGAGCTGAATTTGTCCCCCAGACTACTGTACTATACCATACTGTACATGGTTTTCTAATAGTTTTTCAAAACTGTGGACATTTGGAAAACATTTGAAAGTGAATATTGAAGACAGCGAAGGAAAAAAGTTTAAATCGATTGAATGGCTTGAGGGCAACTAGTAAAATTTCTGAATTTATAAAAATATTAAAATACAGTACTTGAATGCATGTTTTGTTCTAGCGGAGTAATAGTTTTGCAGTTTTAGCAATTTTTTATTTTTCTTTAAAAAAAAAATAGGATCTTCATAATCCCTGTATGGGTTTAGTGTTTAGTTTTAATAGTAGTAATAATAATAATAATAATATAATCATTATAATTCCTGTTCTTTTTAGGCACAGAATAAACACAGCTACTACAGACCAACCTTTAATGTTGTATACTCGTAAGATAAGTCGTTACGGGGCTACCCAACAAGTGTCTGAGGAAAACAATATTCTACAGTAGAACCCCCGTATCCGCAGATTCAGTTTCCGCAGTTTGTTATCCATGGTTTACCTTGGCCTCAATAATAATGGGCCCAAGCACAAAAGTAGTGATGCTGGCAGTTCTTCAAAGACTAAGAGAAGCCAAGAAGTACTTCCCATCAGTGAAAAAGTGCTAATTCTTGACTTATTGTGTGTAAATTATCAGTTAAACTTTGTCATAGGTGTGTATGTAAATGAAAAAAGACTTATAGGATTTGCTACCATTCGCAGTTTCAGGTATCCATGGTAGTTTTTGGAATGTATCCTCTACGGATACAGGGGGACTGCTGTACTATACACTGCAACAAAATCTGGATACAACACAATTTTATTTCTTTTCTGTAGTCTACAAAATGTAGTTTAAATGTAATAAAATATTAAGCATAAAAGAAAGCCACTAGCATGCTCTGCATTGCTGACAGACTAATTGGGCAAGATGGTGTCTAGTATGAAGTAGTCTATAGGTACATTTTTGGTTAAGTCTGCCCGAAATGCCTTAGCACGATAGTGGCTTTCTTTGCTCCAATCATATTATGATATGTAAACACACATTGTAACCTTAGCAAAGAAATAAATATTTTATTTAAGTAGGAATTCATTTTGTAAAACTTTGAGGAAAATACTTTGCACAGCCTCTCCTCACTTAGTGACGTACTCGTTTACTGAAGCCTCGGACTTACAGTGGGCTCTCTGATCAGTATTTATAGCCCATTAAACTGAGTAGATACATATTACAAACGTATGTGGTAGATTGAGGATTTGAATGAAATTTAGAATAAATGTGTCTTATACTGCTTTATAAATTTAGTTGATTTGAAGTGATTGGAAACATTTAGGTACCTATGGAACACTTGCTTATTTTGTGAGGTGACAATTGCAGTAACCTTTGTTATTAAGAGCTTCACTAGATTTGTAATTACTGTTCTCTGTATATTGTGCAAGTCTTCTTTCAAGGTGAAAGGCTCTTGATCTGACAAATAGGAGCTGCCTTCCTCTTCCATATATCAAACCACATTACTTCACATTCCCCAGGCGCTTTACAAGCTTTAAAGGTTTAGCGCTTCCCCATATTTATAATACTGCTTGCTTGTATGTTATAATGATATTGCTACACATGCTGCCTGATTACCTCATTTTTAAAATTTACAGTTATTTTTAAGTGGTAATTATTGTACATCATAGAATATAACTGTTTTCTCTTGCCAGGTATTGGAGGTACATTCGGCACAGTAACAGATACGGAAGGTGAGTCTTGGTCTCCACATGTTACATACAAGGGACAGCACTTTGTAGCCGAGAAAGAGGAATTCTCCATCATGTGTACCCTCACCATCTTCGATCAGCTCAAGTGGATGCACAATGGCAAGCCTGTTGTAGCGGGGGAGGGGGGGTAAGGGAAACTACTTATTAGTGGTTGAGTAGGCTGCTGCCTATTTGAACTAGAATAGTAGGAGGGCCCTTCATTTATGGCACCTATTTTCGGTGTTACATGTTTTCATTAGCTTTCAATTGAGTCATTGTTCCACCCACCGGTGACAATCGCTGGCAGATGGAACATAATGAACAGTGGCTCATTTTGAAGCCAACAAAATGTGGAACACCAAAAAGGTACTGTATATGTGGGGCCCTCCTGTATTTTGGCTCGCTAATTATTTAGAAGAGTATAATTCTGATAAAGGGTGACAAGCTTCTTTCAGGTTTGACTAAAGGAATGGTTGGAGAGTGTTTTGTAAAGTAAAATTTCTTAACCAAGCATGACTCGCTGATTCTCTCATACCTACATGTATCAAATATTTAACCAGTCCTTTCTCTAACTTTACTATTCATGATTAACCTTTCCTTCGATCCTCAGCACCTGATGGCCATTGGAGTGTTTGTGTTCTTATGGCATACAGATATCCCTCCGTATATGCTGCACATACATATAGGTATCCCTCAGTATATGCTGCACGTGCATATAGGTATCCCTCAGTATATGCTGCACATGCATATAGGTATCCCTCGGTATATGCTGCACATGCATTCAGGCCCTTGGCAGCTGTACTATGCTCATTTAATACTATAAATACCTAATTCTGCATAATAAGAATCTTTAATGAGTTTTGCAAGCCACACTGATTGCATACAGCAAATGCATATATACCACATACAGGAGGGCCTTGCTTAAACGTATAAGCAGGTTAAGTTCCAGGCTACTGTAGGGCCCTGCTTATACAGCAGGTTAGGTTCTGAGCTACTACTGTGAAGCAAAAATTGCTGTAAAGTGAAACATAGCCTTCTTTCACTTTCAAATGCATATAAAAGCTTGATAACATGTTTACATTGTTTTATATTAAGTGAACAATAGAAATAGGCCTAAAAAATGTATAAATGTACAGTATATTATGTACAGTACTTACCTTAAAATATTTTCATCCTTGGGTTATAATGAGTGGTGAATATATTTATTGTTGGTAGTTCTGAATAAATGAAGAATGGGTATAATTGAAAACAGCTGCAGTAGCAAAATGCTGTAGTGGGGCCTCCCTGTATATGGAATCGCTGATAGAAATATGTTGCACAACACTGAATTCACATAAAATTCAGATTCATGTATTTCTTTAATGAGTTTCTATCACTTGACATAAATAAGTTATAACATCAAGTATTATGGTTGAAAAGACTTATTTTTTGTGTACCTGTGTTAATTTTGGGGTAAATCCTCCATTCAAGGGGATGCAATGATGTTTTTGAATGCATTGCTGAAAGAACAATATATTTGCCATTTTATGAAGAATAATGCACAAATAACCCGCACTGTGAGGGGTTATTTGTGTATTGTTCCAGTCACTGTAGTATGCCATTTTATTCTTTACGAAGACCTAGTATGTCTTGGCCCCAAGTGTGCCAAGTTTTGCTGTTTATTGTACTGTACATATTATACTTTATGCTGCTAAATAATACTGCATATGTGTGAATGATGGTGAAAGTGTTTCTTTTTTGGGTCACCCTGCCTCGGCTGGGAGACTGCCAATTCGTTGAAAAAAAAAAAAAAGCAAATCATTGATTGTAAAAAAAGTAATCTGCTTTGTAAATCATTTCATTTTTTTTTTTTTTGCTCAAATATAGAGTATTTGATGATTTAAACTTTCTTGTATATCATTTTGTGAATTAAGGAACCTCTCTTCTCAAGACTGAAGTGATGTGTTAATTTTTAGGTTTTACTGGACACCAGGATAATTGTGTGAATTGGCAGGATTATATCTGTATTCATTATATAGGAGGGTCCTGCTTATACAGCAGGTGAAGCTCTGGGCTACTGTAGGACCCCACCTATTCAGCAGGTTAGGTTCAGGGCTGCTGCTGTAAAGTGATACAACTTTTTTTTTTTTTTTCTCCACTTTCGAATGCATGTAAAAGCCTGGTAACATGTTTACGCTAATACAGTGGACCCCCGCCTTACGATATTAATTCATTCCAGAAGTCTGTTCGGGTGCAGTTACCGAACAAATTTGTTCCCATAAGGAATATTGTAAGTTTCAGACCCCAAAAATACACGTACAAAAGCACTTACAAAAATACACTTACATAATTGTTCAAGTTGGGAGCTGATCGTAAGACAGGGGTCCACTGTATATATAAAGTGAGCAGTCGAGCTAGGCCTAAAATGCATATACAGTATATAAATGATTTACCTTAAAATGTTCATCCTTAGCTTATAATCAGTGGTGAATATATTTATTGTAGGAAGTTTGAATAAATGAAGAATGGGTGTAATTGAAAACTGCCACATTAGCAAAGTGCGTAAAGCGAAGCGCTGTAAAGTGGGTCCCTCCTGTATGTTGATATAAATTGTTATACCCAGTCGTGTGTACATGTATTCTGTATAACGACTAGGGGTAACATGCAACATTAATGTAAATTAAGGTCAAACTAACCATGTAGTCTGATGGCTTTGATAATCAAGAGTTGAAATGGCTTCTTAAGGTAGGCTGCTATATTGTGCCATTGTATAAGAGCTCATTAGTAATTTATGTAGGCAAAGCTTGTTAGGATTAAAAGAAGAGCTCATAGATTTATGTTAAGTAGATTAGTTTGTCAACCATCAATGAAATGGTTTATTGCATACAACTTTTCTGAGAAATAATGAGGTCTTGTTCAGTAGGTGTCATAACTGTTGCAGAATAAATTAATGTCATTAGGCCATTTTTCTAAGCATAAATTTGAAATAACTTGAAATAAGAAATTAGGCTATACTTTTCATTTTATGCAGTTGCATTCATCACTGACAACACTGAGGATTATTTTCATCATAATACAGTATTTTAATGAAGCATGTATTTGTATTTTGTAAGTATAATATTTTGGGATCACTTTCTTGCACTGTTAAATGTAGTGTGTACAGTAAATCCTCGACTTACAAACACATTGAGAATCTTCTGTATCGTGTATAATTATATTTTATTAACACATCGCCTTCTCACCATTTGTTAGTACACATTTTATTGTTCGCGCCATTGCTCCACCTTTTCTCTTCGCACATTCGCTCAAATGTCTCCTTCAGTACACCTTCATTCTGTAATCTAACTTTCCTACATCCATCCTGGGAAGTTCCTCTGTTCGAGTTATTCTTTCTCACTCCATTGCGCAAAGCCCAGCGCCTTCGTATCTCAGATTAATGTGTTATGATTCATTCCTTTGCATTTTCATGAGTGTGACCAGCTCACCTGGAGCTCATTACCTTTTAACTTGTCTGAATATGACCTGATCTAGTTCATTACCTTTGTACTTTCATCAGCTATCAAAACTTTGAGTCCCATCCCCCTGGACATTATGTATCATCTGTATCTTTTGACTACCGCCACAGTGGTATGGGTGCATAATAAACATATAACTAACTAAACTGCCTATGGTAGCTTCCCGCTCTTTTTCTTGACCACTTCTGCTCTCATTCTCATCCCATTGCAGTGTACACAGATGGCTCTAAGTCTTCTGACGGCGTCAGATTTGCAGCAGTGTTTCCGGACAGTGTCATGCGAGGGCATTTACTATCCTCGGCTAGCATTTTTACTGCTGAATTCTATGCCATTCTTGCAGCGCTTATCTGTATTGCATCTATGCCTGTGTCATTTGTGGTTGTTTCAGACTCCCTTAGTGCTTTACAGGCTATACGAAAATTTGATACACCTCGCTCCCCCTAGTTCTCTGTATCCATCTTGGGTTACGCCGTATCTCTACCAAGCATAAAGATATTGTTTTTTGTTGGGTCCCTGGTCATGTTGACGTACAAGGCAATAAACAGGCGAACACTGCTGCGCAGTCAGCAGTACACGACCTTCCAGTTTCATATAGAGGTGTTCCATTCACGGACTATTTTGCTGTAATAACTACCCACCTTTACACCCATTGGCAACAACGCTGGTCTGATCTACTCAATAACAAACTTCATTCTATTAAACCGAGTACATGTATAGGTTACTGGCTGGCTTCTTGTCATCAGTGTCGAGGTTGGGAGACTACTCTCTCCCTTCTTCGCATTGGCCACACTCGTCTTACTCATGGGTATCTCGTGGAGAGGTGCCCTGTTCCTCTCTGTGAGAATTGTCAGGTTCCAGTACAGTATTGGTTAGCCACATTCTGTTTGACTGCCTACTCTATCAACGAGCCCGCAGAATATACCTCTGTCGTCATCTCCGCTCTGCTGCTCTCTTTACCTTCCCTTCTTGCTAATGGACCCTCCTTTAATCTGGACTCTCTCATTGACTTTTTGACAACTGATTTACTCCACAAACTCCGATGATGATACCTTTAGCACTCTCCTTAGCCCATTCTACCTCAATCTCTTGCTACCCTCTACTCCTGCACTATCCACTGCCCCATTGTTCTCCGTACCCTACTAATCATCCCTCTCTCTTTTACCACCCGATACCCTTGCTTCCTTCCCTGCCCTGCAGTGCTGTATAGCCCTTGTGGTTTAGCGCTTCATTTTGATTATAATAATAATTCTCCCACCAAGGCAGGGTGCCCCAAAAAAGAAAAAATTTCATCATCATTCACTCCATCACTGTCTTGCCAGTGGTGCGCTTGCACTACAGTTATAAAACTGCAAGATTGTGTATATCATTATACACAATACAGGAGGTCTCTAACGTGTTTGTAAGTTGAGGACTTCTTGTATTGTGAATATTATACACAAGAGGTCTGCAATGTGTAAGTCGAGGACTTGCTGTAGTTTGTGAAATAACTTGTGTTAAGTTCTTTTGATAAATGGTTGAACTTTATTGTGAATTAGTAAACAGTGTGATTATAAATGACTTACACTTTATCAGAGTCAGTACAAATCATCCAGTTTTGGTGCAGAAACAGTTATGCTGTGCAGTATACACATGAGATAAGATAATATGTATTACAGTTAGTGGAAAAATGTACAAGTGTAGTGCAAAATTATACAGTGTAGATGGGACACAAACATGGTTCTTTTCATGTAACTGCATATAATTGCAAATACATGTAGGTATCTTGCACACATGAGAGAATTATATTTACAGTACAGGAAGTTCTCAACTTGTGAACACATTGGGGACCTTCTGTATTGTGAATAATAATAAAATATTATACACAATAATATGATAATGATGTTATACGCAGTACAGAAGATTCTCAACGTGTTTGTAAGCTGAGGACTTACTGTACTTAGACGGCAAGAGGTGCGAGTCGAGGTGAATTTTCAAGAGAACTATTATGGGATTTAAATCTGATACAAAGCTTGCACAGTATAATCGGGTTTATTACTTGAAGTTAGAAAAGAAACCCTTTTTTTTTATAATCATAGGTCGGTATTTTTTATTTTTTTCTGTAGGCATAATTGACAAATCATTATTTCCTGCTTTCATTGCTGCCTCTTGCAATACCAGGTATTCGATGATGGAACTGCCAGGACCCCAAGGGTTCATTAAGAGCCGTTTATCAGTGGCAAAGGCTCATATGTACCACGCAGGAGAGTACAAGTGCACATCGTTCAGCCCACGATCTCACACTGTTTATGTTCTGCGCGGTAAGGCTGCAACAGAGGGCTTGCAGTACAAACAATTAGCTCTCGTCCCTTTACAGTACAATATTAACTATCCTCGCTCTACTATGCAACACCCAGTGCACCCAATATCCTCGGATTTGTTTTGCTTTGATCCCTTTTTAATATAATACCCCAGTGCGAGTATTGTAGCCATGGTGTAAGTGAAGCTACTGCATATACGTATGTACGTACTTTGTACAGGCAGGCCTCGTCTATACAGCAGGTTAGGTTCCGGGCTACTGTAGGGCCCTTCTTATACAGCAGGTTAGGCTCTGGGCTACTGTAGGGCCCTTCTTATACAGCAGGTTAGGTTCCGGGCTACTGCTGTGAATTGAAAAATTGCTGTAAAGTGAAACGGCCATTATTTTTCATTTTCAGATGCATATAAAAGCCAGATAACATGTTTACACTATCATATATTAAGTGAGCTAGGATAAAAAAAATGCATGTACAGTACACACATTATTTACCTTAAAATATTTTCGTTCTTAGCTTATTTGTGAGTTGTGAATATATTTATTGTAGGAAGTCCGAATATATTGAAGAACAAGTATAATTGAAAAACGCTGTATTAGCGAAGCGCCATAAAGCGAACCACTGTAAATCGGGGCCTGCCTGTACTTATCCTGAAGTGAGTTAATAAGTCAGTAGTGATTTTAAAAGCAAGGAGATAAATGTTATTTGTCGGTGTATATACATAAATAGAAAGATGTACAATGAGACATGTAGGAAATGTAGGTAAACAGATATGTAATGTACCGTATATGTTATCTTTATAAAAACTGTTTCCTCAAGGGAAAGTCCTTGATGCTGATGAGCAGTTCTTGATTTAAGGAATTGGACCTGTGCTCCAATTCCTTGAGTCAAGCCTGAATGTCTTCCATTTCCCCCAGGTACTGTATGACCCCTACAAGTTTAGTGCTTCCTCTTCCTTGAATGTAATATGAAAATTGATAAATGAGACACTTGTGCAACATTTAGGTATCTTTATTTTATTTTTATTTAGGTATCTTTATTTATTCTCCATGGGGAAGTGGAACAGAATTCTTCCTCCGTAAGCTGTGCGTGTTGTAAGAGGCAACTAAAATGCCAGGAGCAAGGGGCTAGTAACCCCTTCTCCCATATAAATTACTAAATTTAAAAGAGAAACTTTCGTTTTTCTTTTTGGGCCACCCTGCCTTGGTGGGATATGGCTGGTGTGTGGAAAGAAAGAAAGATCTTTATTTTTGCTAGCCAGTGGCTTCTTCAGTCCAATGCAGAGAATGATGGAAGATGAGGATTAGTGTGAAGTAGTCAGTCCTTCATCCTGGAGTCAATGTGTTCAGTCAATCACTTTATCAAGACTGATGGACTGAACATATCAACGCCAGGCTGAGGGACTGAATTCCTCAAACTACTCCTCATCTTCCACCTTTCTCTGCACTGGACTGAAGAAGCCACTGGCGGGCAAAACATTTCCAGAATAAAGATACCCAAATGTTACCCAAGTGTCTCATTTATCAACTTGTCGGTTTTCTAAACTATTTATACACAATATGACACTTGTTTGACTGGAAGAAAAAAGTAATGTCCTTAGCACTTACAAAATTAAGTAAAGTATGATTTTCTTTAATAGTCCATATCTTATTGTTCAATAAAGTTATCACAATAGCTAAATGTGCTGTACACCCTTATTTATGGATTTAGTGTTCAATAAAAAGATTAACCAAAATAAAAAGGTCTGGTGTAAGAAAAGAAGCCTCTGTCTTTGTATTCAAATTCAGTTAAATGCTTAGTATGTAAAAAAAAAAAAAGGCTCGGTTTTTATCAATCAAAAGGGTTTAGTGCCAAGTTTTAATTGTAATAATAATAATATCGGTTAGAAATGATGTGAGCATCTAAAGTTTGTATGTGCTTCTTTAATGTTGGTATTATTTCCCAGTCTTGTGCTATATCATTAAACTTCATGTGTTCCATGTTTTGTTGGCTTCAGTTTAGCCATTGTTCATTGTGTTTGGTGCTTTTACCGCTGCACCGCCTTTATTGCCATTTTCATACAATGGTTGCGCAAGGGAAGGACAACTGGTGCCGTATTTAAAGCTGTATGAACGGGTTTTTCCTGTAAGTGTCATAAGATGTACATTGTGTAGCAGCTTGCTAGAGTTAAACTTGATGGAAACTTGTCCAACTTTATCAGAGCTCAGTGTAGGCTTAAGATTGTAGCAAACTCGAGAGGGTAAGGAGGGTGAGCAGTGGATGTTCACTCTCACTAGTAGAACCTTGTTCCCCGCAAGCTTTTGTTGAACCATAGACAAGGTGAGTATATTTGGTTGGGGTTCTGATGGATTTTTAAATTTTGATGCTTGTCCATGCAGTTCCTTATCTTGTTTAATATGAGGAGTTTGGGATATTGGCAGTTTGGAGGGGCATCTAAACTGTCATATCTAAGCACCTCTGCAAAGACTGATTATGTATGAGTAGTGATGAAAATGTATAATGATGAAATTTTTTTTTCTTTTTGGGTCACCCTGCATCAGTGGGAAATGGCCGACGCACTAAAAAAAAAAGTTCTTAAATATATGACAATACTACAGTGAAAATAGGAAAAACACCTGAGTGCTTCCATGTGCTTACACACATCTTCAGAGGAATTATTGTGATTTCTTCCATGTTCTTAAATCTGTGCTTTCAATTTTGTCTCCATTGTAACTCTAGATATAGCCTAGGATAACCCAATAAGCATTATTTTTATTAACACCTTGGCCGTTTCCCACCAAGGCAGGTGACCCGAAAAAGAAGAAACATTTCTTCATCAATCACTCCATTACTGTCTTGCCAGAGGTGTGCCTACACTGCAATTAAAAAAACTGCAACAACAACACCCCTCCTTCAGAGTGGAGGCGCTGTGCTTTCCACTTCCAGGACTTGAGTCCGACTTGCCGGTTTTCCTGAATTCCTTCATGAATGTTATTCTGCTCACATTCCAACAGCATATCAAGTCATAAAAACCATTTGTCTCCACTCCTATTTAACATGCTCAAGCACGCTTGCTGGAAGTCCAAGCCCCTTGCACACAAAACCTCTATCCTCTCTCTCCAACTTTTCCTAGGGCTTGTGTTTTCCATCTCTTGTAGACAAATATGTATTCCATATTTATTATTTTATGTACAAATATTGCAAAAGTTCAAGCAAGCTTCAGGGCCCCAAAAATGTAGGTCTGCTACTATGTACAGTAGTGCCACACTAAGTGGGTGCTGGATGATAAATACTACGATCTGTCTTGATGAAATGAACTAAACTTTAAAAGAAAAAAATAACCAGGTAATTTAAAATGTCATGAGCCTTTTTGTGGTCTTCACATTTCATAGCCAGCCCCAGCTTTTGTCAGGTGTTGAAGTGATTAAGTAAATAATTCCACTTTTCTTAAATTTTATATATAATTTACTGATAGAGGATGGTTCATTGATTGTAGTGTTGGCCACAAATTTTTCAGGCGTATTCTTGGTTTAGATAAGTGGTAGAGATTTAACAAGAAAAGGTTCGGTTGTAGGGTTGTGCGCTTATGCTCATACAGAATATGTTCAAAGATATGTCACATCTGCATGCTTCTGTCAAGACAGTGATAGTGTGAATGATGGTTAAAGTGTTTCTTTTTCAGGTCACCCTGCTTTGGTGGGAGATGGCCAGCATATTTAAAAAAATGTCAGGTGTTGTAACATTCCAATTTTATCTAATGAGGTAATCTACAAAATTTGTGCAGGTAACAAGTGATTATTTTTTCCACAGCTGACTTGTCAGGGACCAAGAGTGTGCAGATGTTATATGTAGGTTACCCACTCAAGTTAACTTGTAACCTGACCAGCCATGAGAATACCTCTTTCAAGCTCGACTGGTAAGTGGCACTACTGGTATTGTTTAGCATGAGATATGTTGTGGCTTTTGAATAGTAGTGTAGGCACCTCTGGCAAGACAGTGATGGAATGAGCGATGATGAAAGTGTTTCTTTGTTTTCGGGTCACCCTGCCTTGGTGGGAAACGGCCGGTGTTAATAAAAATAAAAAAGAAAACATTTTTAGTGTGAGCTCAAGTTCTTGATCAGTCTTATTTGGCAGGCAGCACTGTATGACCCTTACGTGTTTAGTGCTTAGTCTTGATTATAATAATAATAATTAATTTGGCAGGAGTGCTGAATTTTAGAAGATTGTTTGAATTGTGATGTCCATGTGCATGTTTCTGGCGAGTTTGCAAGAGAGTGAGTGATAATGAATGTGATGACCTTTTTTTTTGAGTCACTCTGGTGGGAAATATTTAATGTTCAAAAGTTTAACATCAATAATAGTAGTAATGTTAATTCTAACTGTTACTTAAAACACAATTCAAACTTGCTATTAATTCAGTAGTATAGGAGGGCCCCCACATATACAGTGCCTCCTTTTGGTGTTCTGCATTTTTGTTGGCTTCAAACTGAGCCATTGTATAATGGTACTGAGGGGGTACCTGTATGAAGCACAGTGCTACATGCTGTGGTACTATGGTACTGAGGGGGTGCCTGTATGAAGCACAGTGCTACATGCTGTGGTAGTATGGTACTGAGGTGGTGCCTGTATGAAGCACAGTGCTACATGCTGTGGTACTGAGGGGGTACCTGTATGAAGCACAGTGCTACATGCTGTGGTGCTATGGTATTGAGACGATACAGTAACAGTTAAGAGTGTTGGTTTCACTTGCTACCACTGCAGGCAACACTAGTATTTCGTCTACCTGCCAGCTAGTGGAACTTCCCTTATGTGTTCTTTGAGTCTGCCAGAAAGAGTGGCCAGTCATTCCAAAATATTGGGCGAAATGACAGTTGGATTATGTATTGGTAGATAAAAGACTGTTGAGTAGACTTCAGGATGTACATGTTTATAGAGGGGCCACAGATATATCAGATCACTTTCTAGTTGTAGCTACACTGAAAGTAAAAGGTAGATGGGATACAAGGAGAATAGAAGCATCAGGGAAGAGAGAGGTGAAGGTTTATAAACTAAAAGAGGAGGCAGTTAGGGTAAGATATAAACAGCTGTTGGAGGATAGATAGGCTAATGAGAGCATAGGCAGTGGGGTCAAAGAGGTATGGGGTAGGTTTAAAAATGTAGTGTTAGTGTTCAGCAGAAGTTTGTGGTTACAGGAAAGTGGGTGCGGGAGGGAAGAGGAGCGTAAAGAGAGTAGTAAGGGAGAAAAAGTTAGCATATGAGAAGTTTTTACAAAGTAGAAGTGATGCAAGGAGGGAAGAGTATATGGAGAAAAAAAGAGAGGTTAAGAGAGTGGTGAATCAATGTAAAAAGAGAGCAAATGAGAGAGTGGGTGAGATGTTATCAACAAATTTTGTTGAAAATAAGAAAAAGTTTTGGAGTGAGATTAACAAGTTAAGGAAGCCTAGAAAACAAATGGATTTGTCAGTTAAAAATAGGAGAGGAGAGTTATTAAATGGAGAGTTAGAGGTATTGGGAAGATGGAGGGAATATTTTGAGGAATTGTTAAATGTTGATGAAGATAGGGAAGCTGTGATTTCGTGTATAGGGCAAGGAGGAATAACATCTTGTAGGAGTGAGGAAGAGCCAGTTGTGAGTGTGGGGGAAGTTCGTGAGGCAGTAGGTAAAATGAAAGGGGGTAAGGCAGCCGAGATTGATGGGATAAAGATAGAAATGTTAAAAGCAGGTGGGGATATAGTTTTGGAGTGGTTGGTGCAATTATTTAATAAATGTATGGAAGAGGGTAAGGTACCTAGGGATTGGCAGAGAGCATGCATAGTTCCTTTGTATAAAGGCAAAGGGGACAAAAGAGAGTGCAAAAATTATAGGGGGATAAGTCTGTTGAGTATACGTACCTGGTAAAGTGTATGGTAGTTATTATTGAAAGAATTAAGAGTAAGACGGAGAATAGGATAGCAGATGAACAAGGAGGCTTTAGGAAAGGTAGGGGGTGTGTGGACCAGGTGTTTACAGTGAAACATATAAGTGAACAGTATTTAAATAAGGCTAAAGAGGTCTTTGTGGCATTTATGGATTTGGAAAAGGCATATGACAGGGTGGATAGGGGGGCAATGTGGCAGATGTTGCAGGTGTATGGTGTAGGAGGTAGGTTACTGAAAGCAGTGAAGAGTTTTTATGAGGATAGTGAGGCTCAAGTTAGAGTATGTAGGAAAGAGGGAAATTATTTCCCAGTAAAAGTAGGCCTTAGACAAGGATGTGTGATGTCACCGTGGTTGTTTAATATATTTATAGATGGGGTTGTAAGAGAAGTAAATGCGAGGGTCTTGGCAAGAGGCGTGGAGTTAAAAGATAAAGAATCACACATAAAGTGGGAGTTATCACAGTTGCTCTTTCCTGATGACACTGTGCTCTTGGGAGATTCTGAAGAGAAGTTGCAGAGATTGGTGGATGAATTTGGTAGGGTGTGCAAAAGAAGAAAATTAAAAGTGAATATAGGAAAGAGTAAGGTTATGAGGGTAACAAAAAGATTAGGTGATGAAAGATTGGAGGGAGAGAGTATGGAGGAGGTGAATGTATTCAGATATTTGGGAGTGGACATGTCAGCAGATGGGTCTATGAAAGATGAGGTGAATCATAGAATTGATGAGGGGAAAAGGGTGAGTGGTGCACTTAGGAGTCTGTGGAGACAAAGAACTTTGTCCTTGGAGGCAAAGAGGGAAATGTATGAGAGTATAGTTTTACCAACGCTTTTATATGGGTGTGAAGCATGGGTGATGAATATTGCAGCGAGGAGAAGGCTGGAGGCAGTGGAGATGTCATGTCTGAGGGCAATGTGTGGTGTGAATATAATGCAGAGAATTCGTAGTTTGGAAGTTAGGAGGAGGTGTGGGATTACCAAAACTGTTGTCCAGAGGGCTGAGGAAGGGTTGTTGAGGTGGTTCGGACATGTAGAGAAAATGGAGTGAAAGTCACTTCAAGAGTGTATCAGTCTGTAGTGGAAGGAAGGCGGGGTAGGGGTCGGCCTAGGAAAGGTTGGAGGGAGGGGGTAAAGGAGGTTTTGTGTTCGAGGGGCTTGGACTTTCAGCAGGCATGCGCGAGCGTGTTTGATAGGAGTGAATGGAGACAAATGGTTTTTAATACTTGACGTGCTGTTGGAGTGTGGGCAAAGTAACATTTATGAAGGGGTTCAGGGAAACCGGCAGGCCGGACTTGAGTCCTGGAGATGGGAAGTACAGTGCCTGCACTCTGAAGGAGGGGTGTTAATGTTGCAGTTTAAAAACTGTAGTGTAAAGCACCCTTCTGGCAAGACAGTGATGGAGTGAATGATGGTGAAAGTTTTTCTTTTTCGGGCCACCCTGCCTTGGTGGGAATCGACCAGTGTGATAATAAAAAAAAAAAAGCGGGAGGAGTGGTATGAACTAAATTACTGTGAAGGGTGTTTGGTGAAAAGTAACTTTAATGTTTAAGGAATGGAGAGAAAGTTGAGATTAGAAAGACTGGAAATATAGGGAAGGCAGAGAACAGGAGATTTCACAGGAGTAGAGAGTTCGGGAGAGAAGAAAGTCTGTTTAGCATGTGATAAGGCAGAATTTATGAAATGGGAAGGGTAGCCAAAACGAGAGAATGAAGTATGAAGAATTGGAAATTTCCGATTCTTTTGAAAATTCAGTGATAACAGTTGTAATTGAAAAAACTAAATTACATGTGTACTATGAATATATTGGTAGTAACATTTTCTTTTAAATTCTGTGCCACTCTTTAATATTACCATGCATATTAGAAAAAATTAGCAAAGTGTTCAGTATATTGTACTTTTCAGGTTTAAAGACGAGATGAAGATTGAAAGTAACGCTCGCACAAAGATCTTTCAAGAAAATTCATCGCTGCTCATTCCCTCACCAGTAAAGGAAGATGTTGGACTGTACAAATGCCAGACTCAGCGTGGCATTCCCAATGACAAGCCTCTGAACATGTTTTTTAATGTTATATGTAAGTCCAGTCTTTGTTGTTGTCTTTCTGACAACTTTGATAAATTATATTTTGAGGTGGTTGATCATTTGGAGAGTATAGAGCAAAATAGGATGACTTGGAAGGTGTTCAGATCTGTAGTGGAGGGGTAGGGGTCATCCTAGGGAAGGATGGAGGGAGGGAGTAAAAGAGGTTTTGTGTGCAGGGGCTTGGGCATAAAGCAGGCATGTGTGAGCATATTAGGAGTGAATGGAGACAAGTGGTTTTTGGGATTGATGAGCTGTTGGAGTGTGAGCAGGGTAATAATTTGTGAAGGGATTCAGGGAAACCGGTTAGCCGGACTTGAATCCTGGAGGTGGGATGTACAGTACCTGCTCTCTAAAGGAGGGGTTCGGATATTTGCTGTTTGGAGGGAAATCTAAACTGTCGTATCTGCGTGCCTCTAGCAAGACAGTGATAGTGTGAATGATGGTGAAAGTGTTTTTTTTTCTTTTTTGGATCACACTGTCTCGCTGAGAGATGGTCAGTGTGTTAAAAGAAAAAACTGTTGACAAACCAGAAAGTTAAGTAAAGAACTTGCACAACACTGCATCCACACGGTATATTACTGATTTAATGAGGTGGAACAGACTAAGAGACAACACAGTAAATGTCAGGGGCCCCAAGACTGTTCAACTGCCTCCCAGTATACATACGAGGGATTACAAATAGACTCCTGGTTGTCTTTAAGAGGGAGGTGGACACACCTGAGCAGCCAGGTTGTGGTTTGTATGTCAGTTTACTTGCGGCCAGCAGTAACAGTCTGGTTGATCAGGCCTGATCCACCACAAGGCCTGGTCATGGACCGGGCCACAGTGGCGTTGACCCCTGAAACACCCTCCAGGTATAGATCGCTACAAAAAAAAACAAAATTCTGTCCCAGTACAGTCTTATGCAACATGCATTTTCTTCATTTCCTTCCATTCCTAGAATAATAAAGGTAAAATGAATTTTGAAGTTAAATGATGTAGGAATAGTACTATACAAGTTATTTTTTTGAAGATCCATAACTGTTGCTTGGGTTGGTTAACAATTTTATTCCCTGCATTTTGGGCAGATTTAAATTACCAGTAAAACTTAATTGATAAATTACTGTAATTAATATTAAGATGATTACATGGTAGATTAATTTATTAGTAGAAAATGTACATACAGAGTATGTGGTTGAGTTATATACTATAGATGATGTGGCTAATGAAGTGGTCAGTAGAACTGGTAGCATATCTCTATGAAAATTAAATGCTGTACAGGTGCCCCTCTACTCACGATGGGATTGTGTTCCAGTGAACTTGTCATAAGGTTGAAAATATCACAAGCTTAATATGAATATTATAATAATAATAATAATAATAATTAATAATAATAATAAATGTAAGTTTATTTCAGCATGATACAATGTTTATACAAGGTGAATGACATTTGGGTGAACATGCAGAAAGTTCCTATATATACAGAGCATTTTTGGCCAAACTTAAGACTAATTTAAGATTAATAAGACAATGACAATGAGTAATTTAGTACTTACTACTATCACTGAATAAGTAAATAAACAAATAATTATGATAGCTAACTAAATACCAGTATTGAAAAAATAAATGAATACAGTGGAACCTCAAATATCGAACTTTCTTCGTTCCAGACGGCTGTTCGAGTGCCGTTACTGAACGAATTTATTCCCATCGGGAATAATGTAAATTAGATTAGTTCATTTCAGACCCTCAAAAATACACTTAAAAAAGCACTTACAAAAATACACGTACATAATTGGTTGAGTTGGGAGCAGTTCGATATTTGAGGTTCCACTGTACAAGTTTATTTTGCTGACATTTGATGACTGAATGTTCATTGCTGTTGCACCATCGTAAAGTTGATGTATTGTACGTCAGGCCATCATAAAGCCTCTGTACATGCAGTACGAAAAATCTTTCTCGATATTTCGAGTGTAAGATAAAAATGTTAGTAGCTTATATAAAATTTTATTATAAGTGTTTGTTGTTGCAGATTTTGAAATGAGGAAGATGGATAAGTCTGTAAATGTGGACATGGAGAAGAGTATTAAATTAGAATGCCCTGTGGAGGGTCAACCTTATCCAGTAATTACATGGAAAAAAGGTAAGTTCATGTTGTTAAACTAAATCTCTTAATGGTGTTTTCATCCATTTACATGACAGCACACAGGAGAGCCCCACTTTACAGCATTTTGCTGTAACCTGCTGTATAAGCAGGGCCCTACAGTAACCCAGAACTTAGCCTGCTATATAAGCAGGGCCCTACAGTAACCCAGAACTTAGCCTGCTATATAAGCAGGGCCCTACAGTAACCCAGAACTTAGCCTGCTATATAAGCAGGGCCCTACAGTAACCCAGAACTTAGCCTGCTATATAAGCAGGGCCCTACAGTAACCCAGAACTTAGCCTGCTATATAAGCAGGGCTCTCCTGTCACTCATTTTACAATATTCCTAGTACAGGAAGGCCCCACTTATACGGCGGGTTAGGTTCCAGGCTACCGCCGTAAAGCGGAAACCGCCGTAAAGTGGAACACCCTTTTATTTTCCTTGTAAATGCATATAAATGCTAGATAACGTATTTACACTGACATATATTAAATTAGCAATAGAACTAAGCATTAAAAAAAACAATGAAAAGTAAAATTACACACAGTACATTTATTACATACCTTTAATTACTTAATTTTAATGTGTGAGAGGTGAGTGGCAATGTATTTTATTGAATCAAATCGGGAGATGGCAGACCATCACCCTCTAATTCTTCAACTAATTTGTTTCGTTTTGGAGACTTGTGTGAGGCTTTTGAAGGGGTGTATGTTGATGTTGAAGGCTTTTGAAGGCTAGCTGTTGATGTTGAAGGCTGTTGAATGCTGGCTGTTGATGTTAAAGGTTGGCATGATATTTTCTTAAAGTAGGAAAGCATTGAACTTGCCTCAGGGTTTTTTTTTTCCCTTTTCCCCTTTAAAAATTTCTTTATAGCATGTAACATCATGGGAAAGGGTTGCATTCACTTTTGAACTTTGTTCAAAATTTGGATCAATCTTCTCAAAATTGCCATTGCTATTTCTATATGGTTGATAGCTCTTCCAAATCCTGGGTTTTCATTTTTTTAAAATGGTAACAGGACTATCATCAGGATGGATCTCCTCTTCATGAAATTTCTTTCTTTGCTTTTTCAATCAGAAGAAGGTCTTGGTCTGTCAGAACCTCATCATGAGAGAGAAGCAATTCTTCCACATCCTCAGGCTCCACTTCCAGTTCTAATTCCCTTGCCATATCAACAACATTTACACACACTTCCCCCACTGGATTCTCAAAACCTTCAAAATCATCCATAAGTTCAGGAATCAGATTCTTCCAAACACCTTTGAGTGTAGTTTCATTAACTTCATTCCATGCATCTTCCTCCCCTCTCTCAGCCTTCATAGAATTGAAGAGACTTAGGGCTTTGGACTGGATAATGGCTCTGCTTAAAGGCACCTTGTGACTAGTCTGATCATCAATCCACACCATTAAAAGTTTTTCCATGTCAGCAATAAGGTTATCACGTTTTCTTATAACTTTAGTGGTCACTGGTGTAGCACTTTTTAACTTCCTGCAACACTTTCTCCTTATTGTTCACAACTGTACTAACTGTTTGACGAGCCAAACCAAGCTTACGTGCTATCTCAGCCATTGACATACCTTGTTCACTAAGTTTAATCATTTCTAACTTGGCACTTAAAGTAAGAGGCTTACGACTCTTCTTTTTACACAACTAAGCTTAGATGCCATCGTCAACGAGAGCCAATTAGTTAACAAGAGCAAACGAGAGATAACGAGATACACCCCGCTCAGACAGCGTAAACAAACTGAAAAAGGTTGTGGACGATCACTCGGTCAGGCGTTTGTGAAACTTTTACCTTACAATATTTTTATTATTATTATTATAATAATTAAATCACGAAACAAATACTCTTACACTGTGTACAAGTTAGTACCGAATTATAGCTATAAAGTGAAGGCATACGAAAGGAATATTTTTCTACAGTTATCCCTAGTAACAGGTGACGGGCTAGAGAAAACGTAATTCTTCCGACACTTCTACAAACCGTTTGGTAAACATCTCGTATATATTTGTATAAAATTTTATACTGTGGGTGCATGTATCATGTTTGTGTGTTACATAATGTGTTTCTTATATAATTTTGGAAAAAATATCATAGATTAAGGGAAATGTCTATATTAATGTAATATGCGACATTAATGCGCCCAAGAGATTATTATTATTACTATTATTACTATTATTATTATTATTATTATTATTATTATTATTATTATTATTATTATTATTATTATTGCATCAAGAGTAGAGAGACTCTTAGTGATTTTAATGTGTACCTACATGAAAGCAGTGTGTAAGTTTATTTAGGTACAGGTATACATAAGTATAATTATCAGAGTATATATAAATTATGAAATAACTTTTAAAAACATTTGAAATTTTGGAGTTTCCAGACAAAATGGAGAGACTTAGTGCTTACTGAGCTCATGGAGAATGTAAACAAACAGGGTGGGGCACGGTGACCGTATTAGAAAGTCAGGTGGGGGGAGCCGTATAGCGAGTTTTGGTCATAATTTGAAATGTCCGTATTAGCGGAACGCCGTAAAGTGAAACGCCGTAAAGCGGGGCCTTCCTGTATATCTTCTTTTATTATAATTGATTTTCACAGTCGAGTTACTTTGCTGTTTTAACTTTTAAGGTTTAAACAATAAAACATTACAAGGACCCTAATGGAAATAAGTCATTGACTTTTTTGGGTTATCCTGGTGGGTAATTTACACATACATTACTGTGGTGATAATTTGTGTAACTGTATTTGTGTACCTGTACCTAAATAAACTTCCTTACATGGTCTTTGGTAAAAAAAAATGTTGTACAATGTAATTAAATCGTATGGATCATAAAGTATTTGAATTTAGTGGTGTATGTGTGCTATGCAGGTGTCCCTGGCTTCATGCAATAAATGCATTCTTGGCCCATAGTAGTTATACTAACCCTAATTAGGCCATCAGCACTTGATTCTGCCAGCTTCTCAGATCACATAAAGCAAGTGTGTATATTACATATGAAGTTACTGATAGAGAAGAGTCAATGCATAAAGCAAAGGAAAACTTACACTGTGTTTAGTGCCTTTGTTATTTTTTGTTTCACTGGTAGGGCTTAATCACTCTTCTTCCCATATATGTAGTACTCTTTTTCCCTGATGTTGGCATTGCATTACCATGTAGTTTTGTATGACTTATGGGTTTATCACATTAAATACAGTATATGAATAAAAATTACTGCATTCCTTAAGGTGATCTGTCATTCATTAATTGAATTTAAATCATCTTTTACAGACGACATGCCCATCGCTGAGTTGATCAATGCAACGAGGATAACTTACAGCCCTAATGACAAGAAAGTTCCCAATGGTACAATTCTAATTACCAATGCTGGTTGGACTGATCGTGGTAACTACACTTGTGTCATCACCACACTGTCTAACACATTTGAAAGGTTCACCTTCATTAGAGTTAAAGGTAAAGAAAGTTGAAGGTATCATTAATGAAGAAAATTGTATGTGGATAACAGAAGGGTGGATGAGGGGCTCAAACTGCAGTCCATCATACACCCTTCTGTCTATTCAGTAACAGTTGTTTATTACAACTTCGAGTTCAAATTGTATACATTAATTTATAATTACAGTTGATCTGCAGTTTCATTCTGCTTTTCACTATGGCACAAGAATTTAGATAATGGAGCTGGAGGGAAATATTCAGGAAAGGTTGAGGGATGGTGTGAAGGAAGTTTTGAGTGGTATATAAGAGTTACTGAGCAGCGGTCGTATGCATTCCGAATGCTGTATCAGAGTGATTGGAGAATAGTGGTTTTTGGGATTTGACTTTTTTGTTGGAGTGTGAGCAAGGTAACATTTTTTGAAGTACAGTAATTCAGAGAAACTTGTTGACCAAACTTGAGTTCTAGGGATGGGAATTAGTGCCTTAACTTGGAGGGATGTTATTTTGTTAATTCTTCAACATGTCGGTCATCTCCCACCGTGGCAGGGTGACCCAAAAAAGGAAACACTTTCACCATTATTCACACATAATCACTGTATTTGCAGAGGCACTCAGATATGACAGTTCAGATTATTATTATTATTATTATTATTATTAATTTTATTAATTATTTTATTTATTATTAATTATTAATTATTATTTATTATTATTAATTATTATTATAATTATTATTATCACAACTAAGCACTAAAATTTGGAAGGATAGGTAGAGATAAGGAAATTCAAAGGTTAATTTTGAATTAGATTGTCCATGCAGTTCTAGTAGGGCATTTACTGAATGTAATGGTGAATGTGTTTCTTCTTTGGGTCAGTTTCTTGGTGGTAAATTCCCAATGTGGTAAAAAAAAAAAAAATACAAAATTTGCAGTTATTCTTCAATTAGAAAACTTTAAATGTTGTATTCAGAACTCTGATGCAGTAACTTCTTAGGATACTAAAAGCTATTTTATTTTATTAAATATTGTTACTACAATTAGAAAATTGATAGTTATGACAAGACCTTAAATTTCAGACCAGGTATAGTGCAATTTTTGGGTTTATCACTTCCCCCATGAATTATTTTAAACACATTGGCTCTCTCTCACCAGGAGGGGTGATGTGGATACAAATACAAATATTTATTTCCTCATAAAGCTTACAATGTGTGGTTTACACATAAGATTTTAACCCTTTGACTGTTTTGGTCGTATATATACGTCTTATGAGACGTGTTTGACGTATATATTCTCAAAAATTCTAGTGGCTTCAAATCAAGCAGGAGAAAGCTGGTAGGCCCACATGTGAGAGAATGGGTCTGTGTGGTCAGTGTGCACCATATAAAAAAAATCCTGCAGCACCCAGTGCATAATGGAAAAAAAAAGAAACTCCGACCGTGTTTTTAGATTAAAGCACCGGCTTTAATCCAAAAACACGGTGTATTTCCGTATAGTATTTATGGTTGTATTCTCATTTTCTTGGTCTCATTTGATAGAATCGAAAACTTATTATAGAAATTGAGGTGATTTTGATTGGTTTTACTATGAAAAGAACCTTGAAATGGAGCTCAAAGTAGGGGAAATGTTTGATTTTTGCTGATGTTCAAAAGTAAACAAATCCATGTCATTGTCCAATAACTGTCCAACTAGCCATTCTGATATGCAGTCATGAATGAGTTGACATTATTTATGCAATTTTTACAATATTGCAGTAGTCTGCATAACAGTAAATCTTCTATTTTTTGTTTGAATAAAAATTCAAAATAGAAAGCAAGAGTAATATCAGAGGGGCCTGGAGATGTGACTGATGAACAAAGAAAATGTTATTTTAGAGCCAGGAATGTCTGCATTGTTCATTCTGGACCCTATTTTGAAATTGGCATATTTTTTAATTTGCATGAAATTGGCCAAATTGCAAATTTTTGACCACTTTATTGGGTAGTTGAAATTGGTAAATGGGCAGTTTCCTTGTACTCAATCGATAGAACAAATGGAGTTCTAAAGAAATAGCTATGAGTTTGATTGACTGGAACAATGGAATTAGCTGAAAATAGGGCTCAAAGTGGGCGAAATCGCCGATTTGTAAATATTACCGAGGTCGCTAACTTCACGAGAGCGTAATTCCGTAAGTTTTCCATCAAATTTTGTTCTTTTGGTGTCATTACCATCGGGAAAAGATTCTCTATCATTTTTTTATTTTTTTCTCTCTCTCGACACTAGGAGGCACCTCAGGATTTGGGGTTGCAACAGTCAAAGGGTTAATTACAAAGGTGGCCACTATCATGCCTAGGCACTTCTGGCAGACTAATACTAATTCTTAAGCTATTTTGATATAGGTCATCTTCGAGCAGTACATTTGAACATATTATTCCTCTTCAAGGGGGGCTCCTTGGCGTGGTGAAGAGGCTCTTGGTCTGAGGAATTAGACCTGTCGGTCTCCTTCCTCAGACCGAACCTAATTACCCCCCAATCCCCCGTTCCCTATCCCATCCTCCCCTTTTTCCTTTCCTCCTCCTCCCCCCCCCCCCCCCCCTCCCTTTTGCCTTCCTTTTTGGCCTTTGTTTTTTTTTTTTTTTTTTTTTATTCCCACAGGCACGCTAGTTCCTAGGTAGGGAAAGGGTACCAGGGTCCATCCCATTCCTTTGAGGTTCTTGGCGGTGACGTAGTTTGCCGTGGAATCTGGATTGCCTGGGGATGTCCCGATCCCTCTCCGGTATCCCGGTGGGTGGCTTTGGGTGTCTCTCGGGCAACGGGTGTATCTCTGGAAGCCACCTTTCAGATTCCGGGGGTGGTGGCCGAAGGAGGTATGCTTTGTGGCGGATTTCCGGCCGCCCTCTCTTTTGTCCACCGAGGTAGCTCGGCAGATGTGAGGTTGCTATCCCAGATTCCTAGTTTACTGGCATGATGGGTAGGGTATGGCACGGGTTCCATGCTGCATCTATGCTACTTGCGGTGCTGAGGTCCTCTTGGGCGCGGAGGGAGATTTCTAGCTCTTTCATTCCTCCTAGGAACTATCCCTCCCCAGTCCCATCTTTTTTTATTCTTTTTTTTATTTTTATTTTCTTTTCTGTTTTTTTTCTTAAAAACAAAAAGAAGTAACCTAACCATGGCAGCCCTAGTCCATGAACCTGCTACCCCCGGGCCCCTTCTTGATACCGCACCCCGTTCTGACCCCGCCTCGTCTTTGGACCACTCTTCGGACACTCCTCATGCCTCTGTACCTCTTGCCGGTGCTGTTTCCTCCCCCGCTTCAGGTACTGAGGCCTCGACTAACTCCTTCGATTTATCTGACCTTCGCTCTCCTCTGACTATGCTTCCGGCCTCTCCCTCTAAGGTGGGGCAATTTTCGAATCGCCGGACCGTTCCACGTCGGACCAACTCTGGTCCTATGCCTAAATGCCAACGACAATTACCTGCTGATGATACTTCTCCACCTTCTCGTTCTTCTCGGAAAGGATCGACACGTCCTTCACAACCTTTCCACGCTTGGTTTAAGACTGCACAATGGACTAAATTCTTCACTTTACGACTGACTTCCTCTACTGCCTATCTTTCTGACCACAGTATTGGCAAGGCACTCCTACGCCATGTTGGTAAAGATATTTCTTTTCATGCTCTTAAGAGCGGTACGCGCATCATCACCGTACAGAATGCTACCCAGGCTCATGAGCTTTCTCGTCTTTCCCATATCGATATTGTTCCTGTCACTATTGAAAAACATCATTCCCTCAATTCTTGTAGTGGTACCGTCAATCTGCCCCATACCATAGCTCAACAAAATTTCCAGACATGTGGCACTGACATTCTTGAACAGCTGGAACTCCAAGATCTCCCAATCCTCAAGGTAGACACTTATGTTCTTCCTGCCCGCGGGCGGAGACGATACCCTAGCAATGTGGCTCGTTTAACTTTTGACTGCCGTGAACTCCCATCCTCAGTTTATGTAGCAGGACATAGGTTACAAGTTCGAAAGGTGATCCCTACACCGCAACAGTGTAGAAATTGCTGGCGATTTGGCCATCCAGCGAAATATTGCAGATCTATTGCCGAATGCCCAGTCTGTGGTGCCGATGACCATTCTAATACGTCTTGCAATCGACCTCCCTCTTGCCTTAATTGTCATGAGGCTCACCCTTTGTACTCTCGCCGTTGTCAAGTCTACTTAAACGAGCAGGAAATCCGTTACCTCAAAGAGGCAGAAGGTCTCCCCTATGCCATGGCAGTTTCTCATCTTTGCCTCCAAGGGAGACTACCTCGTGTTTCTTATTACCGTGTTTCAAAACGTCCCCCCACTTCTGGGATCCCATCTTCTGCAACCACCTCTGTGGTTACCTCTCCCATAGTCACTCCTGTATTTTATTCTTTTGCTGTCCTAGGCTCAGACGTCCCTACTTCAACGCCTCAGTCTGATCTCGCTTCTTGGTGTTCTCCCTCACAAGCCTCAGTAGTGACGAGATCTCGTATGACACCTCCTCCCAATCGTCCCTCTACTTCTCAAAAGTCAAAAAAAGGTCCGTTAACACCTCCTACCCATCTTCCCTGTCTCTGTACCTGGTTCTTCCGCTCTCACTGGCTCTGTTAAAAGTGTAGAGGTTCACCCTCCTCCTCTTACTGTACCTTCATCCCCTGTTCCCTCCCTCTTCTGCCACCTCCCAGGTTTCTGCCTCTTCTGTCCCCTTCCACGCTTCTCCAGTTCCCTCCACCCTTTCGCCCCCCCCCCTACCTTGGTACAGTCCATTACAGTTCCAATCTTTACTCATCCTCCCCCTACCATTTCCAATATTGTCTCCCATATGACATCTATGAATTCCGAAACACTTGAAGCAATCTCTGAATGTATTGGAGACCAAACCATCAATGGACACTGATCCACTCTCCGTTCCTTCTCTCTCCTCTCCTCCATCTGCGCAACTCCTTTCTTCACAGCACACTGTTCCTTCGCTGCTTGAAAGTTTTCCACTGCCTCCGCATGTGGACTTTTCTAAC